TCTTCATCAAATATTTTGGAGGCAAAAATTATTGTTTTAATGCCAAGGAAATATTACTATTCCCTCACCGGAGTATGGTAAATAGAAGCATCCTTTATGTTCTTTACCAGGAAAATTAAAGCAGCATAATTATGAACAGATATTTGTTTCTGGACTCTCTGGTTATGTAGTCAAGTTCGAGCACCAAGCATCATGCTCTCAGGTTGAGGTATAAACGGTTAATGTATTTTTGTAATTTATGTTTCTTTTTCTTCTGAAAGAAGAACATATTACATGAGTGTTGGTCAGCTTTGGTGTTATTAAAGGTTTTAAACCAGGGTCTTCAGGACTCTTATTCAAAATGAATGCATAGATCACAACTGGGCACCACCCAAGATCAGATTAGAAATGCAGATTCCCAGGCTCTACCACTGGCCTGCCTACTCAGAATGTACAGCTTTAACAAGATTCTCAGGTGATTTATTTGTGCACTAATTTTTGAGAAGCACTGTTCTAGAACTGTAACGCTGCTGGTTTTTTCAAACAGTTTTCTTTGGCTATCATTAATCCAAATTCTGTTTATACTTATCCTGGATATTTAGGTTTGACCTAGTTAATTAAAAAAATCTTAAGCTTAGAAATCATTTAATCATTTACTGGAATCAGCAAACAGAAACTAGCTCATTTAAAATTAGAGAAAAGTTGTTTAAAAATACGTCACTGAAGATACTCTACGATAGCAAGTAAGCACATGAGAAGATAACTTTAGTCATGAGGACAGTGCAAGTCAAAGCCACAGAGAGTTGACACTACCCCTCAATTAGGATGACAATGGTAATAAACACAAAGGTCAAACCAGATAGTAGTAAGGTTCCAGGCTCATTAGTACTCTTAAACATTGCAGGTGGGAAGGCAAAATGGTACAGTTAGTTTAGAAAACAGTTTGGCAAATTCTTACGAAGTTAGTAATATGTTATCATCCTAACAGTCTTATCCCTGGACCTAAGCTAAGTGAAAACGTATATAGAGGTATATAGCAGTTTCATGGCCAATCACTCAAACCTGGAAACAACCTAATGTCCTTAAACTGATGAAAGAATAAACAAACATGGGAAAAGCCATTTAATATAGAATGAAACAGGGTCACTAAAAAACAAAAACAAACAAACAAAAAAAACCAGTTACAGATACACACACAACAATGTGAATCAATTCAAAATGTATCATTCATTATGTTTGACTTCCACTCATTGGACATCCTAGAAAAGAAAAAGTACAGGCATGAAGGACTCCAGGGTCTGGGTGGATGGAGTACGACTATGGCTGCTGTGTGTTGTAGGAGTTGCTCTGCATCCTGAGTGTGGCTGGGTTGGCCCTACTCTAGGTGTTTGCCAAATCTCCTAAAACAGGAGACCAAAAGCATGCTTGAATGTATGCAAATTCAAAGGAAATATATAAAAATGATTTATTATTTGCATCATGTGTTTTATACTCTTGGGCTATACTGAATAGTCAGCCTAAACAAAGCTGAATCTAATGAACAATATCAGGAGGTGGCAGCGGTGACAGCAGGTGTGCCTCCCTTCTCCCTTACCCCTCCCAACCTCAGTGTTGTGGTTCAGCTCTTGGTTTTTATTCTCCCCTTTTGACCATGCACTCTTTCTGGACTGTGATCTCCCCCGCTGTGACTAGGCATGACCTGGGGAACCTGGGAGGGAACTGGAGCCTGAATATTTGCATACTGTAATTAAACTGCTGTATCAGGGGCCTTCTTTCTGTGGTTATGTTAGAATGGAAGCAAAGGTGCACCTCTGATTCAGAGTTTGGAGTGTTATTCCTGGGAACTGGAATGAATAGCACTGTCCAGGAGGGCTTGTGTGACTCACCACTTTAATGCAGCCACGTGCGGTCCTTTGAAGGGCACATCTCCTGGCATCACCGTCCTTCATGGGCTGGGCTTATCTCAGGTAAGAGAGGCCTTTCTGTTTGGATCCTTTCAGGACAGGGGTGCAGAGAAAGATGAGAACCTGGCCCATGGGTGGAGGCTGCTCCTTGTCCATGAAGTTCATTTGCATATCTGAATGGAGGCAAGACCTGGCTGGAGCACTGAATTGGAGATCTGAGCTGCACAGACAGTGTGAGGGCTTCTCTGCCTCCACCTAGGTGACTGCATTACAGATCACTGCCCCAGTTAGCTCGCCATTGTCATAGTAGGTGATTTATAATAGAACGTCAAACCAATTTCCACGGTTTAAGTTAATAAACTGCTTTCACACAGCTTAACCTTTCTAGCTTCAGGTTCAGAAGGGAAAAGAATGGCTGAGAGAGGATGTTATTTTTCTGTAGGAATAGAAGAGCTTCCAGCTTCCTTGCCCTTTCTTCCACAATTATTCCATGAAAATCTTTAGCTAACAAAGCAGTTTTGATTATGGACTCCCCCCCCCCCTTTGGAAGTGTTGAGAAAGAAACCCAGGACCTCATACACCCTAAAAGCACTCTACCATTGCTACGCTCTCAGGCCTTCTTATTCATTTTCAAATCATTGAACTTCAGACCTGACCTTTTCTTTTTCTAGCTTAAAAAATATATTACAGATAAACTGAGAAAAATCCAGCAAGGTGAAGAGAGCAGGTTAAGGTCACTTAGCCTGCAAATTGCATCCTTAGTAAATTAGGACTTAAACTTGTAAAGTACAACTTTATAGGATTTGACTGTGTTGCTGTTGGCATCTAATGTATATAAAAGCGGCCAAATTGCTTTGTGGACAAACTTGACAGTTGAGGGAGAATAAACAGAGGCATTTTATGAGGTGCTTTGGATTCTTTAGGGTCAGTAAAGTGATTACAAAGCCACATTGTTCAATGGGACATGAAAATAAAATAAAAATAAAAGGAGTCAATTACATTTGCAGTTGTGGGTGAAAAAATCTGTGTTAGCCCTGTTGAAGTGAAAGAATTAAAATAACTTATTAAAATGCATCTGTGAACATTATGACCTTGAAAAGAAATAGACGCTTTCATTTTTATTCCCAGAGCAGCCCAGCAGTAGTCGCCTCCTGCCCTGGTGTTATGCACACCAAGCAGTCATGGCTTATTCTTCAATATAGTTAGTTCTTGAGCTAAAGAGAATCAAGATTCCTTGCAGATCAATTGATTACATGTCTCAGGATGGAGAAAACTTGGGGCGGAGTTAGAGCTGTGGTGGCTGCCAAAAAACAAGCACAGAAGCTCTGAAAATGTCTAGAGCCATTCTGAAAGAAACAGGAGATGGCTTTAGAAGACCCACTGGCCAAATTGTAATAATTTGAGCATCAAAAGAGAATATGCTCTAAAACTAATTGAAATGAATTGAGTCTATAGGAAAGCCAGGCACTGAAAGAGGAAATTAGCTCATTAAAATGTATAAGATGGCAATTATAATATAAAAGAAGGGTAAATGCGATTTTTAAATTAACTAATGCTAGAGAGGGGCTATGGGAATACATGAAGTTCTCTTCCAAGTACATGTTTGCACCGAGAGCATGTCAGTCAGTTCAAGGGGCAGCAGATGGGAACTGGGTGGAGAGTGTGGGTGGGGTATTGCTACATGAGAGACTGATCAAAATTCAGAAGGAAAGGTTGGCATCTCAACTCTGTCTCTTATGTGTTAAAAAACAGAACCTCTGGAATATTTAACCAGTGTGTTGAGATGCAAAATTATATAATGTGTTAGAGTGTAAATTGAGGCTAAACATCTTGCAAGTCAATGGTTATGACTGCCCCCAGACAGGGGCCATCACCACCCACCACTCATTACCTCACAGCCCTGGGAGCTGAGATCTCCAAGATGCAGGTGTTGTCAGCATGGGATCATTCCAGTGCTGTGAGGGACAGTCTGTAACAGGCATCTCACTGGCTTGTGGGTGGACATCTCCCTGTGTCCACAAATGATCACCCCTTTGTGTGACCCAGTTTCCCTTTGTTATAAAGACCCCAGTAGTGGATCAGGGGCCACTCTAGTGACCTCAGGTTGATTATCTTTTCAAGTAATTCGTATGTTGAAGCCTTAACACCTGATGTCTTAGCTGAAAACATTTATCTCTAAATGTAATCACATTCAGAGGCACAAGAAGTTAAGACTCCAAACATATAAATTTTGGGAAAGACACAATTCAGCCCATAACCTATGTCACAGAGGAGACACAGTGCAGGAAGAGAGCACAGCATCTGTTTTCAAGAAAAGTCATGCTTATGGATGTTCCCATTAATGCAATGAGTTGACCTTGATTCCCAGAGGAAACCAAGTAAGAAACACAGGGAAGACCCAGTGGGGTTCCTTGTGCTGAGCAATCATCAATGTCGAATGCTAACAATCAGCTGAATGGCAATAATATTTTCCTTTGGTGTCTGATAGGTCATCATAACTAGGAAAGATGCAATAAAATATATGACAACTCATAAATAATGAAGACTTTGGGCAAACCTATAAAAAGCCATAATTATCTCATAGATTACCAGCAAACAAGACAATAGATTTTATAATGATTGTGATAATTTGTGCACCTCTTGTGTGTTTTTAAGGTGATTGAGGCACTTAAGAGAACACAGCATATTAAGTTTGGGCTTTTATTGAGATGTGTGGAGACTTTGACTAAGGTTTATAATTAACCTTTAAATGTGCTAGAGAATTTGTAAAATCAACATATTGATGTGTTAATTGTGTAATTTTTGTCAAAATAGAGAATTTTCACCTAATGTACTTACAAGTATAATGCCTTTGAGTGTTACAGAAAGAGCAAGTAGTAAATTTGATTTCCTATGCACACACAGTCTCCTTCAGAACTGAAGTCCTTCCAAGATTCCAGAGGCAGTCTGGGGCAGGAGCCGAGCAGGAGGGCAGCACTCTCAGTGCTGAGCAGTGTGTGGCATGCTCTCGGGGCCCTCACCTTGCACCCTACCCTTCTCAGACTGCAGGACCCTACTATTCATCTCACAGAGGCTGAGTTTCGCCCAAGTTGTGTCATTTCTGCTTTGCTCTTGTAGGATGAAGATCTGTGCTAGCCCAGAAGTGACGATGCTTCTGCAGCAGATGGGAGGGTGGATGATGACTTGCCACCACAGAGGCCCACATCACAGCCATCCTTAGAGACACTGATCCTCACTGTCACACTCAAGCTCCAGGCTTCCTTCCTGCCGTGCTGTCCTCCCACCCCTCCTCAGAGATGAATGGATCCCCAGCAAGCACGAGAGTGGAGCCAACTGATTTCAAAACACAGCATTGAGGAAAAACCCTGTGAAGGCATTCGGTCAACTCCGCATGTGGACAGCATGTCAGGACTTCCCACTTGATGATCTAGTCAATATCATCTCTTTGCAATGATGAAAAATAATAAATAAACCTGAATATTCATTGGTTGAATCTAATCTGAGGACTTCTCAGGGATTCAACCAGTTGAAGATCAAAAATATTCAGAAAAAGAACTTGTCTCTGCATTGATCACATACAGACTTTTAAAAACTGTCATTATTCCCTAAACAATACAGTATAGCAGCTTTTGGCATCACATAACACTTACAGTGCATTAGGTATCGTAAGCAATCTAGAGGTGATAGGAGCATGGAAGGGGAGGTGCACGGGTTATAGGCAGACCCATGCCATTTTATAGAAGGGACTGAACATCCGTGGGTCTTGCTAACCCTGAGAGGTCCTGGAACCATTTCAGCCCAGATATTGAGGGACGTTTGTGTGTCCCTTTTCCTCAACCAGGCAGGGAAGATAAGAAACTGGGGATATTAATATATGCTGTGAGCTGTAAAAATTGTGTAGGCATTTCTTAATTTCTTTTATGACTATGAAAATAAACATTCTATCTTTACAGAAAGGAAACAACCCATAGACATCATAAAAGAATGCTGACAGACCACTTTTCTTTTAAAAGAAAGAAAAAAAGATAACATTTTATTCTCATGACAGAGAAAGGCAATACCCAACTGCAGAATATATCGAATTAGTATAATTTCTTTGGAGCATCAAGACTTCAAGCTTTTAGTTTTTAAACTGCTTTTTATGGTTTTCAGTAATTTTACCATTGTCATCATTTTAAAAATAAATGTACATGGCATTTCTGCAGGGCCTGAACAGGAAAAGTGGCATTGTTTGGGAGAAAGAGAAAGGATGTGAGGGAGGGAGGGAGGAAGAGAGAGAGAAAGGGCGCTATTACTAAAAGGGAGGGGCGAGGAAAGGTAGGAAGGGAAGGACAGTATGACACTGTTCCAAGGTGACAGATATTGGAGGAGCTATTGAAGACAGCATCCGTTTTCTCTGCAGGAGGAAGAGAGTGTTTAAAAGTGTGTTGGACTTGCTGAGTAATTCTGCAGCCTGGTTCCTGTGCCCTCCTGGAGCTGCTGGGGCAGAGGCTGCCATCTTCTGGGCTCTCCTCCTGCCCCGCCCCCACCAGGTGGCATGCAGGCTGTCAATCTGGTGGCCTCCAGGAGCATGTCTTTAGGCCAGCTTTGTTACACAGAACTGGAGTGCTCAGCATTAGGGAAAACTAAGTTTGCCATTTCAAAGGACCCTCATGCTTTTGAGGACAGCCTCTCTTCTGTGACTTATACCAGTGGTTCTCTGTTTCTTGGGACTTAGGAATCAGGAGTCAAATGAGCTATATGCCACACGTGTGTACCACACACATACACACACATGCACATGCTCACACTTATCTCCCATTGGCCCATTAGTGCTGCTTCCTAGTGCACACTGACCGCTATGGCTCATCCCCTTTTGCTGGGGTCTGACTTCGTGTCCCTTGTGTTCCCCAGGACAACAGCTGGAAGCAACTTGAATTTATAATTCTTTATCATTTTTCATTATAAGCAAATGCTCCCATCTACGACTTTGGTTTAGCCTCATGTTCAGTCTTTTTGTCGAGACGGGGGTAAATGCTACTCAACATTTCTTTACAGGAGATCACAGAGCCAGAAGGGATGGGGGTAAACTTCTAGCTCCAAATTAGTTTCTGGAGAGGAAGGCGAGGACCAGGCAGGCAAAGGTGGCAGCTCAGGGAGCTCACTGGAGCCAGGGGCAGAGCCCTAAGGAGATGCCAGGTTTCCTATCACACCTCCGTTTTGGAGTTCAGACAGTAGGGGTCAAGAGGAGAGGGTGGAAACATGCTAGAAACCTAACTTTCAGGATTTTATTTCATCGTTTCTCACTTCTTGGGTTAAATCTTTAGGCCTTTACATTCACTGTGCTCAGAGAAGGCAGACAGACCAACTGCATGCCCCAGAGTGGAAAGTGAAATCCTACCCAAGGCTAGGACTTTGTTCCTCCTCTGCCACTAATTACCTTTGTGAATGCAGGCAATGATTTTCCCTCTCTGAGCCTGTGCTCCTTTAATCAACAAAAAGAAAGTATCAAAACTGATCTTCAAACTTTTCCCCGGCAGAGATATCTACTTCTCAGGTGAAATGCAACCTAGGACTGTGATATGTGGAGTGAGCACAAGCAAGCAGCTGGGATTGGTATCCCCCACCCAGCAGGAGGGAAGGGACAGAGGCCTAGGCTGGTGGGAGCCCCTCTTCGTGGGAGCAGCTCCAGCCTCTTCCAGATTCCATAGGCTTCCCCAAAAGGAGCGTGGAAAACTCTAAATATTTGACCTTCAAGGGTCTCTCACATTTCCCAACCTTATGACATGGTGGAGGGGAAGTCCCAAGGAAAAGGGAGGCTCAGGGTTTTGTTACTGCGAGGTTCTCATCTTGCGAAGAGGCAGAGGACTCCTGCTCCTGCCTACCTGGGCTGCCTGTAGCTTTGCAAGGCATCTGTTTGCAAGAGCAAAGCCTAGGGTGCAGCATTGGGAAGGGGGCTTTGTGTTCCCCTGTGGGAAGAAGAGACTGAAAAAGTGTGGGCTGTAGGAGTGGGGAGGGACATCTGAGGGGCTTCCTTAACAAGGCATTTCCTCTAATCTGTGAGCCCAACACAGCAACCCCCATGACTGTGGATAGTCACCAGGCAGCCGTCCTCAGATTCTTCTCACCACCACATCGGTCAAGGGAAGGCTTGCTGGAGCTTGCCCACTTGCTCTGAGGCCTGCAAGAATCACAGAGCCATTAACCTGCTAGACTGGCTCCTCTCACTGGGCTGCTGGGAACTGCAGAAGGGAAGACAATGGGTTCCCTCACAGGCTCAGGCAGAGATTCATTCAGGAGTAGTATGGAATCCACCCAACAGAGCACACACGGATCACGTTTATTCTAGATTCACCAGTTAGTGGGTTCTCTGGGTGCTGGGCCTTTCTAACTCAGGGATGATAGCTTTCATGTCATTCCTTCTCTGAAAACTAATATATATATATATATATATATATATATATATATATATATATATATATATATATTCCTATTTCTTCCTAGGAGCATCCTTACCTCGCTCATCTGCATCTGTTGGTCCCACTATGTGCTATCATGTGGCACAGCCGTGACAATCACATGTACTGCAGTGAAAGTTCTGAGAGGGCAGGGCCTGGGAAGAGCTCAGCCCCACAACAGCCAGCTAGCAGGTGTTCAGTAACCCTGGCTGGAAGAACTCACCAGTATTGCCACCCTGCACCCTGGTACACAGTTGTGGGTCTGACCTCCTCCTCTACCTCCCTATGGGCTGTGAATCCCTAAAGCTTGGAGCTTCACCTCTTCCTGCTTGGCACCTTCTTGTGGGGCAAGGAAGTGAGCCTGGTTTAAATTCAAATCCATGACCTGCCGTATCCAGCAGGCTGTTCATCCACCTCTGCATTCCTTAAATCTGAACATGAAAAGGAAAACACAATTTCCATATTCAGAGCTATGAAGATTACAGAAAGAACACTGGAGACTTGCTTAGGACAACCCACAGCAGAGAATGGACACACAGTAACTGCCAGCTTTTGATAGGAACTTTGGTTTATTTAAGCTTCTTTTATTGATCATTGTATTCCTGGTAAAATTCTCTCTTTGTTGGTGTCTATCTTGTCTCTCAAACTTCTTTATATATTTTCTCCAAATTTATAGATATTTAACCTTTTTCTAGATCTGTATATCATCCTTTCTGTGTACATAAAGAGAGACAGGTGTATAGATAGATGTAGATAGGCACATGAAAAAACATACATAATAGCAATGTGCATGTAAATTTTAGATTCCAAAATTGCCTTTTGTGTGTAGTACATACTAAGCATATGTTCTACGACTGAACTACATTACCAACTACATCACTAAAATTTGTAATTTCTCTTCTGAACCATTTGAAAAATGGATTACTTAATCCTGCCCTTTTACGTGTTAGTATTTCCATATGTAATCACTAGGGATAGGAATATTCTTTCAAAAACCACAGTGCTATTGCAGGTAAGACATCTTACATTGAGAGAATACTTTAATCTAATCTTCATCCCACTGTTTGTCAATTGTCCTGATAACGTGCAAGCACTACCCCTCTAGTGTCGGATCTGCTCATGTAGGGACCAAGTCTGTTTAGTCTCCTTGAATCTGAAAGCTTGCTCAGTCTGCCCCATTTCCAGACGTTGCTGAAGAATCTGGCCCCACTGTACAATGTTCTTCAGCGTGGTTTTGGGTGAGGCTTCTTCATGACAGTCTCAGGTCTTCTCCCTGGCAGGAGTGCTCTAGCAGGAGTGGGTCCTGCTCATATGTCAGCCCAGAAACATGAGACATCCACCTGTTTTTTGCTGCTAATGTTCATTTTGACAACACAACCAAAGTGTCTCTGTCCTCACCTCTGCCTTGCTATTCTTCTTTAATCAACTAACAGGGAACCCTGGGGAGACCGCTACAGATCATCAAAGAATTCTGCTCCCCATCAAATTGCCCCTGCCTTGGCACCCCTGATGCTTCTTGCTCAGCCCATCCTTCACAACCCCTCACCCACATTTTTACCATGGGCTTCCTGCTGTAAGGTGGAGCCGAGCATCCAAGGACAGAGCCCGGTGGCCAGCGAGAGGTTGTGCTGGAGACACTGGTTTGTGGGTTAACTCCAGAGCTGCCTGAGAAAGGCTGGCACAAAGCCTGGACTAAAGCCAGGGAAATGAGGGGCCTTCAGCATGGGGGCATGGGGGGAAAATGCAACTGCAGGAAACCTAGTGGTGTGGGAGAACCTGGCACAAGCAACCGCAAAGGGGGCTTGTGTCCCACTCGGGGTACTTTCTAAATGTTGCCCAGGAGAGTCCTTTGCATCTGTTTGTCCAGAACACTGTAAGGACCTCACTGATCGCACAACCTTTTCCTGTGTTTCAGACCATATTGGAGATGAAGTACCAAGCCACTGCTCAGCATCATGTAAGTGCTCATTAAATACCCCCTTCCTGTGCTTCCCTTCGCATTGTGTTGTGGAGACATCACCATGGAAACTCACCTCTCCACTTTTGC